TGGCTCAGTGGTAGAGCATTGCGTTAGCAGCGCAAAAGGTTGTGGGTTTGATTCCCAGGGAACACACATACTGATAAAAAATGTATAGCCTTAATGCACTGTAAGTCGCTTTGGATAAAAGTGTCTGCTAAATGCATAAATTGAATTTAATTTATGTATTTTAGGTACTGGATGGTGTGGCTGAAAAACAAGATAAAGACTGGGGCTGAAGATAGGCTGTACACATTACTGATGTTCGGTCTCGTGGACTTAACAGACACGCGCACGCGGCAGCCATTGTAAGTCCGTAAGACCGCAAGTGCACATGAAGTGTTCCATCTGGGACAGGGCCAAAAAGAACCGAATGAGCCGGTTCAACCAACTCTCGAAGTTTGCCGAGAGTTACCGATGACTCAACAAGAACCGAATGAGCCGTGGCGAAGTTTGCAGAGGATTCTGATGAGCAGTGTTGGGGGTAACGCATTACAAGTAATGCGAGTTACGTAATCAGATTACTTTTTTCAAGTAACTATTCGTAACTCTGCAGAACGCAAAGTCTTGCTAAAGCAGACTCTCTCAGAAGAACCAGAGGTTCTTCCGTAACCCGGCAACCAACCAATCCAACGAGGGCTCTCCCAAAAGGACGTCATCCTGACGTCACCGCAACAGCCAATCAGCAAAGGAATTCCCTCAAGCAGCCATCCAGGAAGCCTGTGTCAGCAACGAGAAAATCAACTCTGCTTCTCAGATTTCAGCAAAACGCAAGTACAAACAATGCTCCTATCTGCTGAAATCGGTGCTGAACTGGTGAATTGAGTTAAGCAGTAAAGATAAGAAAATCTCTGCTTTGTGATTGTCCCAGGGTTGAATTTAAAACCACTCGTGGAAACGAGTTAGAACTTTGAAAACTTCATGCAACTCCGTTATCTCATTCTTCCGAACTGTATGTATGTGTGTGTGTGTATGTGTGTTTTAGCTTAGTTTTAATGTAATCTAGAATTGCTAATACATTCTTTTTCATTTATACAGAAGTATTGTCTTTAAACCTTGCCAAGATCACGTTACCTAGCTCGTAGCTTACTTATCAAAGAATGTATTGACCTGTGGCCAAGGAAAATACACACAGTCAGATTAAGATACACGGACATTAACGGCTCGCTGGACGACCGTTGATAAGGTGTAAACTATTGAAATTTGAAATCAGTTCTAATCAGGAACTATTCAAATTTGAAATCAGTTTTAATCAGGTTGACCTCGAATTTTCAGATTCGATTCCTCTCAGAACCTGAGCTAGAAATAAAATTAATGATTAATTCCCTTATAAAATTTAAATGAGTTAAATTCCTTACAGTACAACACTCAGAATATGACGCAAACCTGCAATAATTAAATGTTAAATAGCACAAATGTATCTAATCCCATTTTATTAACCAATGTCTTTGCTGCTGACCTTTGATGATCCAGTTCAACCATACTAATAAGCAAAATTGACTTTAGATAAACTAACAATTGTGATTATATTAGAAACAATCAAGCCCTGCTCATATTTAAAAAGTAACGCGAAAGTAACGCAAAATTAATGTAACGCATTATTTTCCATAAAAAGTAACGAAGTAACGTAATTAGTTACTTTTTTAGGAAGTAACGCAATATTGTAATGCATTACTTTTAAAAGTAACTTTCCCCAACACTGCTGATGAGTGACGTTATTAATTTAAAACCTTTCTGTCGAGTGATGTAAATAACTTTTACTATAGTTTATTGTGCATGCATATTATATTTAAAGTTGCTTAAGCGAAATCAAATAAGACTAGTTTGGGTCAGTCAGTCGTATATGACATATAGGATCCGCGAATGAAACTGTGACCACAAACACCATTAACTTAAAGTTACAATGTGTAATTTTCGCCGCTAGAGGGCGCGTATTCAAAATAAACAAATAGACAAAGGCGTAGTTAGATGACGCCGCATGTGGGGGGAAAAAAGCAGCAGTTTTATCATACTAGATACATTTGAAAGTTCTGTTATAATGCTACTCTGTGCGGTCGACACTGTTCTATTAAAGCACACAACATATTAAAGCGTCTTTGGGGTTTCCATGTTTTCTACAAATATATGGCAATAATCAGTAATGCGTTCACACAAATAACTTTATTTTTGAATGTTTCAATGTGTTGACACAAATTACTTATTTGATTTTTTTCATTGATAAAACATGGCACCGAGTTGTTAGAAAAGAAATGAATAGAGACGTAGGCTACTGCTTGATGACATCAGGAACCGATGAATCGGCTTTTTGAACTGGTTCAATGAGCCGATCTGTCCGAAAAGAACCGGTTCGCGGAAATGAATTGGACTTTGCATCACTACTGTTTACTAACAAGGTGACAGCGCCAACTATTGGCCTGGCATACGTAATACAGCGTTTTTGGCCGTTTTCGCGGGTATGTGTGAACGCGAATCGTTTTGAAAACATTGTCGTGTATACATGAAACTTTTTAAAAATGCAAGGGAAAAACTTTCCGTTTTTGACTACACCGTTGTCATGTAAACGTAGCCTTAAACAGACGATCCATTGACTATTGTTATTTTTAAACTAATGAAAAAGCTTGAAGACCCCTTTCATAGAGACTTAAGGTAGGTTTTTTTGACTCAAGCTGAACTCCCTGGCAACTGCATAGCAACATGCCCTGGAGTTTTACTTGGGCAAGCACTAGATAGAGTTTTGGTAAAGTTTTTCACAGGTTCAAAACGATCTTTATGTAGGGGTAACCAGTGAACTCATGGCAGACATCCTCACTAATGCAAACCAGATGTTGTCCGTGATAGATAGTTCCCTTCCCCCTACTGCTGTAATTGTGGAGAAAATAAGGAAAGTGTGTCCAGCTGAATAAATTTAGTGTTTTGTTAGACGGGTATAATAAAAGCTTAGTTTACCGTGGCAGCAGTCGCGTGAAGGCCTCCTCATGTGAAGACCGAAGAGTGTAAAGACCATCGACTCTACCGTGCGAATCCACCGGGCAGGGACACCGGTAAAGGATAAGTATCGCTTTTTATTTCTCCTCTTTCCTATTACTTGTTTTGCTTCTGTTTCAGTTTTTATAACTATTTCTTACTATGTGTAAGTAAGTTGTTGTTTTTTAGCATGTGTGTTTGGCAGTGTTATTTTTTAGGATTACTGATAAACTACTGTCGTTTGATTTGTATTTACTCTCATAGATTTTGTTACCATTGCCATGCATTATACGACTGATAGACTGCAATGGTTGGAGATAAAAATCATCAAATGTGTTCTACTGAAGAAACAAAGTCACCTACATCTTGGATGCCCTGGGGGTAAGCAGATAAACATCAAATTTTTCATTTTTGGGTGAACTATCCCTTTAAGCTCAGCTTTCCAAACTTATGAAAATCTATCCATCACTCCAGCATGTGACAATTCTAGTTCCTTTAAAAGACAAGCCGCAAAAAGCAATTTAATACATCAAAAAGGGAAACAACCAATTGTTCCAAAGAAACACAACAGACTTCAAATCAGTATATTTATAAAATGACAGATGACAGATCATAGATATTTGTTCAATCATATGGGTGTATTCATACAAAAGAAAAATACATTTTT